TCAACTGTAGAAATATCATAAATCTAGGGATGCACCAACATTTTGGCCACCGAAACGTATCAGCCAAAAATGGTACTTTGGACCATCTTTCGCCTGGAATTGCGGTGCATCTCTCATGCTTATTGATGATGGTATCAAGCAAAAAGGCATAAAAACACTCACAGCAGCAGCAGCAGTGTTCCATTCAGCACTGAGGATATGAGAGCATATGTCTGCATTGGGAAAAAGGAGATCACTCACTGCAGGTCTCTACAGTGTGAGTTTACCTCACCCTCCAATAAGTGATGATGTCACTTGGCTTCAGCCAATGCATTTTATCACTGATTTACTTTTTTGATTGACAATTATTAAACCCTTAAAATTCCATAACATCAACACACCAAATGTATTAAAACTGTATACTGAGCTACTTAAAAATAATAATATGATTTTCCTTCACTGAAGCTCCTGCCTCATCTGCACCGCAGAGAGAGGTCAATCTGGAGATACTAGTCACACCGAACTGGTCCAAATGGGTATGGTAAACTGAAATCATCAGACTCCTTGCAGATTCTCGGAGGGATTCCAGACTGTCCAGGATCTCTTGACCCAATGACCATTTTATTTCACGATCACTGGCTTTAATGACATGGCTGTTGAATCCCAGATCGTAAGGGACAGGAGATCTGAATCCGTTATTCCTGTGCTCCTGAAAACTAGAAAACCTACCTCTTGCCAGGTATACGATTGTACTTGGAAAGTGCACTGAGTATGGTGCGAGGAAAGGAAATTCCATCCCAGGAAATACTCTGTGGGGCACATCCTCACTTTTCTCCAGTCTGGTCTGGATCAATATTTGTCCTTGAGTACTATCAAGGACAAATATCAACTGGTTTATACCAGCTACCCCTGGTATAAACCAGGGGTAGCCAAACTCCGGCCCTCCAGCTGTGGTGAAACTACAAATCCCATGATGCATCTCTCAGGGAGTCATGTCTGTGGCCATTAGAATCTTGCAATGCCTCATGGGATTTGTAGTTCCACAACAGCTGGAGGGCCGGAGTTTGGCTACCCCTGGTATAAACCTTTGTACAGAGTGTTGCTGACTGTGACCCCTTGGGATCTCAACCTGGTTTGGCACCTTTTTCAGCCCTCTGCTGCTGCAAGCTTTGGTCATGAGGTCCTTCAGGCAGCTGTTTGAGCTGCGACTTGCCCCAAGTTTTACTCTATTGTTTGTGAACATGTTGATGTTTTGTTTGCTGCATTGCCCACCCAGTTGGACTGTGTTGGAACAGCCCAGTGTTTCAGAATCCTTCTGACGCTGTGCCTCTTAATGAAAGATTAAGAAAACAGGATTTTGACTTACTGTAATATCCTTTTCTTGGGGTTTATTAGAGTTGGAGTTACTATTGCTTTTCCAAAACTGAAGTATGATGGGAGTGGGAGGGTATATACTAATGTTCAACTATGTTTTGCTTGCCAATGTCCAGTTCTCCTGAATAACGCAGTGTCTCAGAATCCTTCTGACCCTGTGTCCCTTAATACACTCCAAGAAAATTATTTTACAGTAAGTCAAAAATCCTGTTTTCATGGCTGATCCTTTAATTTCAGTACCTTTTCATATGCTGACCCACGTCAGGGGCTAAGACTTCACCTGCAGCATATTTGAACTTCCTGCAAAATACAGAAAAAAGTACTCCTAGATTAGGTACTAAACAAAGTGGAAAAATGCCACATTTTATTAGACATGTAAGCCGGCAATAAATTTGTTTCATTTCGGATTTTGTTATTTAGTTTTTCGGGATTCAGGTCCAAAAGTCAATTTGTTTTGTTTTTTGGATCTTTCTCAGTTTTCGTCTTAATTTTGGACAAGTTAAATGGCAATTTACGAATAAATGTCTGTTGCAAAAAGGAAACATTACATTTTTTAATTTTTTTTAGCTTTTGACAGTCCACTGGAACTATAATTTTTTTTTTTAAAACAG